CTGGACCATATGTAGCAGCAATATTTGAGGCATGGACAAATGGTAGACTTATAGATAGGCAATTTTTCTCTCCTAAATCTATCATGACACAGTGAACCAATTTTTTCAGCAGTGGACCTAGCAATAGATTCAAAATAGTCTTTCCACTTCATGTTAGCCCAAGAAAGTGAAAAGAGTCACTCTCCTGGAGATTAGCATCAACCATGCTGATGGAAAGTAGAAAAGGGTCTCTCAGATGATTAATAGAGCAGATTTGTTTTGGCAGTATTAAAATTAACAAGCCATCCTTTGCCCCAGTTAACAACTGACTATAGGTCATTTTTGAGATCAGTCGCCAATTTGACCTTGTCGATTTAATCAAACTTGCTAGCAAGTTAGTAGTAAATGGTTATGTCATCAGTATAGATACCAAGTTGAGAGCTGATGCCATGCAAATCTTGTTTAATGATCTGCTGTTTTATTTTTTTTTTCCTCTACAACCAGAAATATTTATTTTGTTTTCACAAATAATGGTAGTAGAAGTAAAGCCAGAAGGCAGGGTTTATATTTTTTTCTTTCTCTCCTTCTTGCATAGTTTAACTGTTATTTTTTTAAAATTTATTTCTTCTTTTATATGACCATTAAAAAAAAATGTTCTTCCTTCCATTTCAGGTTGTCATCAGCCCAACCATGTTATTTGTTGTCACAAAAGCTGGTATTGAAACATACACATCACGAGCTGCCACATTTGCTCTTTTCAGGAGAAATACTTTTGATAATATCGAGCGGGTAATCTAATATATATATTTTGCTTATCCCCCCCCCTTCTTTTCATTGTATTTTTTATTTTCAGGTTATCTTTCTTAAAACCTGGAAATATTTTTACTTCTGTTTATAAATACATGTTGCAAGATAAAATCCTTTTACCTTCATAAAGTCCATCAGCAGACGAAACATGTTGGTAAAGAAAAGTTTTCCTTTTTCTTTATTCTTTATTATATATATATATATATATATATATATATATATACACACACATTATTAACAACAATAAACTAGATAAAAATAAATGCATAATACTACCTACAAACTCCAAAACAATCTATCCAATCAAAACAACATCAAAATAATTACAAGCACATCCAAAAATATTATGGATATGATCAGAACCAAAATACCCATAACAATAATAATTCTGAAGCTAGTATATATAAAATAAATTGCCAGAACTGTTCCTCATAATGCACAAGGGAAACCTGCAGAAATTAAAAAAACATATCTATGAACACAAAATCTTATATGCAACAATTTATCAAATGCATTAATTATACATAAATTCACCCACAAGTTTGATCTAAAGAATATCACACTTATTAAAAGAGAAAGTAACTTACTTAGAAGGAAAATTGCAGATGGTATAGTGGATAATGGTTTTGGAATTGGAAATTTGAGAGCTGAGATCCAATTCCAGTCAGGTTCATTATATTCACTTATGTGCAAATAAATACCTTTTGAGAAAGGTATGAATCCATCTCTTCTCCCCCAAGCTATGAGTTAATTATTAGGACTTATAGCAGTAAATCATTATTATCTCCCCAAAATTCCTACAATCTAAAAAATATTTTCTGGATTTAAATAACTACTAAAGGTTGATAATATATATATATATATATATATATATATATATATATATATATATATATATATATAATATGCACAATAATGCAAATAGTCTTTTATGCATATAGATATAGTTCAATGTTCTTATACAAAGTTCTATTTGACCAATAAAAGCAAACATATCAAATATATTAAAAAGCATTTCATAATAAAAGAAAAAGAAATAATTCATATAAAAAAGAAAGGGTAACAAAAAAATATATTACTGTAAACTGGTAATACCAAAATATAATAATGATTAAAAACAGCTAAATAGGTTTTTGAACATCTCACAGAGCAAAAATCAATCAAAAAATGTGAACAGTGACTAAAAATTTATATAACCCTAAAATGTTGTATACAAAAAATAAAATTAAAGGCTAATTACCTTTTTAAGCTCACCAACCATTCCTTCTGCTTACAGAGAGATGGCTGGTAAGACTTAATATATACTGATTTCAAAACATTCAAGTGATCAGTATTAGCCTTACTCATCACTGAGAACATGTCCGGGCTATAAGACCAGGTACACAACTGGTTATTTATCAAATGTATATATTAATGCACAAGTGTAAATTGTCCCCCTTTCCCTTACAAATAATGGCTGGTAAGTGTTGGTTGATCTGTGCTTTCAACCTTTGACTTGTTCTGCCTACATAGTTAGTATCACATTGACATCTGAATTTATAAATTACAAAACTAATATGATGGGTAGGCAGAACATCTTTCCAGAATGATCGTGACATAGTTTTGAGCAGCAAAACCAATATGTGGAAAACAATATAATCGAAACATTTGCAATTTCATCTTGATGGAAATAATGTAACCTTTCTAAGTTTCTCTTTGTCTAACATGGATCTTCACAATAAAAGTATTTATCACTTTTTTCTTTATAGACAATACCTCCTGTTGACCTTGAACCTTGTCTATGTGGGTTACAGCCATTTTTAGGTGCGGTTGAAGTTTCTGTGATAGATTCACCTCTTGGTACTATTATGGAATCTCATGTCATCTTGCTGTCAAAATTCACAGAATCCAGGTTAGTAAAATCTACATAAGTAAAATGCAGTGTGCACCCATATATCTATGATTTTTTTTTTTCTTTTGTGTGTGTGTGTGTGTGTAAAACATTTTCCAGTGACGGACTGTGTCTAAAAATATTGATTGCCAGGAGACAAAGGGTGCCCACCCACAACTACAATGTTATTTAATTTTCATAATGAATAAATCAAATTTTCAAAAAATACATATAGAAAAAAAGGGTACAATTAGAATTTTTGTACAAAAAAAAAATATGTATTTCTTAGTAATTACAGTGTACATGTACTGTACATATTACTGGCTGTTGATACCAAAAGTAAATACAGGTTATCAGTTGAATCTTTTTTTATTGTTTTAAATTTTAAGTAATTGGTTGATATTTTTAAATATTTTACTGCACAGTATACACTCTAGCAGATAATTCAATAGCATAATAGAGCATTGTATGCAGTCCACTATATTAAGAAAAATCAATGATTATGTGAATTTGCCAATAATTCCTTCTTCATCTAACAATTCCTTTTCAATGGATAATATGTATGATTCCAAGACTGTAAATTTCTTAACCTTGTCTTTATGATCTTCAGCTTTGAAAATGTCCTCTCACATTCGACTTGAGTAAATGATAGTGTGCAGATAACTTTATAAAGTTCTTAGTCATTTTATTACTAAAACAGTTGTCTGTGTTTGTTTCTTTATTGCATTTTTATTTAATATAGGGCACCCACTTGCCATTGAGCAAGCTCATACCCTGGCCAGTCCACCCCTGGAGAGGTAAAATTTCCATCCAGTGGCTTTGCCTGATAATGTAGTTGAAATGCCACATATTTGTACTATACAGGGATCTATGGATAGATTATTGTCTAAATTATGCAAAAATGAAAATAAACTAACACCTCATTTTAACAGATATATTTAACAAAATTATATAAAAATATCTTGAAATACTAAAGAGTGAATTTATTCAATAAATTTGCCATTGGCTTCAACCATGGTCTTCAGATGTCTTTGGAATCTCCTTCACCTGTTTTGGATGGTCCCCTTGTTTAAATTGGTGAATGCTGCCATAATCCTTGCCTTCATCTTTGGTGTTACAAGGAGTTTTATTGGTCTCTTGGTCAACTGAGCCCCACACATAATAATCAAGGGGTTTGCAGTCTGGGGAGTTAGATGGCCAGATGTCAGAGATGATGTGGTCGCAGAAATGATCTGATAGCCAGAACTGGGTTATTCTGCTTGTGTGGCATCAAGTGCCTTGTGGAGGTAGTGCTGCCCTGGGTCAAGAAGAGTGGCTTCTGAAAGACCCTATGTCTGGCAACAATCCTCATATAAACTTCTGAAGCCAGTGAATAGTAATGCTATTTATTTGACTATTGTAGGGCAAACAAAGACAAAATTAACTTTTACTTACATTTTTGACTTAATATTAGTAAAAAAACTGTTTCTTTGACTCAGTTAAAAGATATTGACTGTATTGTTTTATTTTAATTTCTATAGTAACACAATGTGGAGTCTGTATGCCTTAGAGCCGTACACTGCAATGGACACGTACAAGGACCTGGTAAGTCTTATTTTTTTATTTGTAAGTTTCTTTATAATTATTTATACTGCTTAGGTGTTAATGATTTTATAAATACAGAATTTTTGTGGAATATACTTTCAGTGATTTAATTTTTAAGCTCCAGTTTTCCTGTTGCGTAATGAAGCTCACTAACCTGACATAATGCTTACAAGATGAAGGTAAATCAATACATCTGTAGCCTAATGAAAGAAAAATATTTATTTTATGCAACCAATATTTATTTTTCAACATAACCTTGTTCTTGGTCAGTGTTCTTAACCATTGATTGCAGAGACCAAACACTGGACAGAAAATTCCAGATGATAACTCTGGCTACATATTTTGGGATCCATCCTTGTTAAATATAACAGATTTAATTACAATAGAAATAGTTTTAAAATAAATTGCTGAGTGTGTTATGTAGAGTGACTGGTCATGGTTAAATGTAAATAAATGGCAGAACTGCCTAACAAACAGAATTGACAGTTTTCAATAACAAGAAAAAGAAAAAAGAACACAACAAAAAATAATATAAAGCAAGCAAACAATATATGCAAGGCAAATCAACAGTAAGAAGGCAAAGCAACAGTAATATGGCAAATTATTCACAAACTAAGAATTGGAGTTGACACATAAAACAAGTTTGGACAAGTGAACGTAGTATTCTGACTTCAAGACAAGACAGACCAGGACTGAGTCAGATGGAACTGGCAAGTGGCCTATCTTATTAGCTAGGAAGAAATCCCAGCATACATTTGTTACTTCTGTCTACTGATCCACTTCTCTAACCACTAAAGAACTAATCAGGCAGGACAACTGCCTACTACAAAGGAGGAACCTTACTTTCTGTTCCAACATATCGTGAGCTATGAACTCTGTCACACAAGAAGCATAGAATTTGCATTCATAAAAGAGAAATCTTCTGAAGCAATATTTGCTTAGCGTTCATTTATTTTGAATGTAAATATCAACCTTCTGTGCCAACCTTCACAATATTATCTGTTAAAATATAAAAGCACAGCGGATACAATTTTGAAAAATTCACATGTTGAAATATTTGAACAATTTGATTTAGTACCTCATGTTGTTGCAAAAACTATTACATAGGATAAAGAACAAATAGGAAATGTTTCCTTTATCCTATCGGTTTCTGATCTGTATTTGGTCCCAATTTGTGTGTGTGTGTGTGTGTATATATATATATATATATATATATATATGGTAGTACTTCAGTATCTGTCTATAATTCTGAGATGAGGTATTATGTACATTATTTACCTTATTCGGACTATTGTCCTCATCTTTGTCACCATATTTATTACAACGTTTCGGCCATTGTATGCTCCAGCCTTCTTCAGGTGGTGGAGAACTTTCAGAGGGAAATTAACAGGAGATAACTGATAATTGACATCCATTAAACATGGCACATGGAACTAGAACAGTCTACCCCAGTGAGTGAGATAAAGGGTTAAGTTCGACATTCCAACCACCTGAAGAAGGCTGGAGTGTACAATGCCCGAAACGTTGTAATAAATATGGTGACAAAGATGAGAACAATAGTCCGAATAATGTAAATAATGTATGGTAGTACCTGTTTGGAAAAACCTCGGATAGCTCAACTTGCAGTAGAACAAATTGGTACCAGAGGAAAAATAGGAAATAGATAGATATCACACAGGGAAGTGTTGAAATATTCTCAGCTCTTCACAAATGACTTCTGATATTTGGTCAGATTTCAAGAAGTGAGTCAGATTGAAAACTTTTCAGTGTGTGTGTATATATATATATATATATATATATATATATGATGAGATAAAGAACAAATAGGAAATGTTTCCTTTATCCTATCAGATCCTGATCTTTATTTGATCCGAATATATATATATAAGTATATAATTGGTATATACAGAATGAATTCCAATAACCAACAATTACTATTCTTAAAAGAGTGCTCAATACAAAGTAGAGCAGATATAATTATTATTTATAAAAAAAATTCATAACATAAGTATGTTATAAAATCACTACAAAAATAGCCATTTTGTTTCAACACCCTCGGTGTCTTATCAAGTGATAAATGGTTTTAAAAGTTTCAAATTAATTAACGATCCTACACTAGGAGGAAACATTGTTACAAAAGCTAGAATAACCAATCAAAAACCAAGTATAGAAAGATTCAAAAGCTTGACAACGAAATCATGTTATAATAGCTATTCAGATCTTTAAAATACGGGTAATATTAAAAATAATTTATACTAACCAATAATTATAAAAGTATATGATAAAATTTAATATTAAAATTAAAAACTGGCAAATTTAAAATCTAAATTTAATCACTATTAAGTTTAAAAACTACAAAATTATTGAGAAAAGAAAAAATACATATGTTATTCAATTTATTTCTTCGTTGAAATTACGTTCGACAAGACGCTACAATATATCCGGTCATTTGACAATACCTGTATATATATTTTATATTCTAAAGTGTGTGAATGTGGTCTTAAACTCACGCGCATAAAACAACAAAAAACACAATCAGATTATAGTACATAAGACATATTTAAGATATATTATATATATATATATATATATATATATATATATACAAAAAAAAAAAAAAAAAAAGCGACGAGACAGGAACATCTCTACAGCCCTTTATGAAAAAAGGAAACGGGGAAACCAACACCTATACACACACACAATTAAATGTGAATGCACTCTACATACACATAGACACTGATAAATACACGTACTCACATCCACAGACAATGACCTAGACAATCAGATGCCACAACCAATAAATATTTAAGACTTATAGTATCATTAAATAAATGCTAACCACTTGTTAAATTATAACTTAAGGGGGCAAATATACAAAGATAAAAATGGTTAAAAATAATATTATTTCATATATTAAAACGAAAATTCCAAAACCACAAATATCAATAAAAATATATTTTAATCATATAAGTCGATAATAGTTTCATTATATATTAGGCGAAAAAAAACGGGATAAAGAAACCCACAGAAATAAGTGTACAGTCATACGCATACTTAACCGGGTATTGAAATCACACTCTTTGGGTCTGTCACTGGATCTAACCAACGGTTAAGGCAGTGGGGAACTTTCAGAGGGAAAATTAGCAGGAGATAACTGATAACTGACATCCATCAAACATGGCATGTGGAACTAGAACAGTCTACCCCAGTGATCGAAATAAAGGGTTCAGTTTGAAATTCCAACCACCTGAAGAAGGCCGGAGTGTACAACGGCCGAAACGTTGTGACAAATATGGCGACAAAGATGAGGACAATAGTCTGACTAATGTAAATACTGTACATAATACCTCATCTCAGAAATATAGACAGACTCTGTGTAAATGTATTGTGACTGACTGACTATGAATTTTTGTTTGCTTCTTAAACCATATCTTCCTGATGTCAGTTTAATTTGACACCTTTTTATTTCTCTGAATATCTAAAATATAATTACATTATTTACATTTGTATTGTTGTTGTTATCACAATATTTTGGCCTTTGTATCTTCCAGCCTTCATCAGGTGTATATTGATCCAGGTACCTATAGGGAATTCAAAAATGAACCCTTTATTTAATCTATCGAGGTAGATTGTTCTCATTCCACTGTTCATGTTTAGGGATATCTCGTATAGTTCTTATTTTTAGTACTGCTCAATTATTGCTCACACTATTTTCACTGAGTCCCAGTAAACACTGCCCAGCCCAGGGATTGAACTCACAATTACTATGTCACTCATATTCACAAACCAATCCACTAAGCTATAGATTACATAAAGAGTTCATTTCAGAATTCTCTGTAGGTTACCTGTATTGATATGCATCAGATGAAGGCTGGAGCTAAAATGCCATGATAACAACAACAACAAAGATGAGAATAATACAAATGTAAATATTGAGTAAATTATTTACAAATTTTAAATTTAAATTTCAAAATTTAAGTTTCAAATTTAAAATAGATTTGAGGAAAACCTTTGCTGTGATTGTTTTTATCAATTTGATATATGATATAGTTTTTAATTTTTGTCCGTTATCTTTACCTATTTGGAAAAATGCTACATAGCCAACTCATCTTAGCTTGTTAATACCACTGTATTGATACCTTTTTAGTATTAGGCTGTGTAAAAAATACTTGATATTTCCTGTTTGACCTTGTATTTCACTATGATGAATCAGTTAGTTGCCATTTGTTGTTATTCATTTTTCTACCTCTGTATTGGTAAAAAAAATAGATAGTGTAACAGCTATCAGTGTGGAAAACAGAATTTGTGAGCCAAGTTCAAATTTGAGCCTTGTCTGTTGAGTTCACTTTTGCACTAATCCATTTCTTCTTCCTACCCCCACCAAACTGTGGGTTAAATATCAGAGTAGAGTAGGCTTTCTAGTCTTAAGTGATAACCAGTTTAAAAGGACAACACTGAATTCAAAATTGTGGAGATGCTAATGGGAAACCATTCTACTTTATTTCCCAGAAGCCATGGCAATTCGTAGATAATAAAGAAAAGGAATCTTTTTTTTTTCTTTTATCATTTCACACTGAGCAAGGCAATAAAGCCACTAAGACACAAGCAGTTACTGAATGTTAGAGAATATGAGATAAAGAAAAACATTATTAAAGAGAGAGAATAATAAAATAGATAAAAATCTGTGGAGAGCCATGTTTGCCTACATCCTAAAGGGAGATGGCATTAAAAAAAAAAAATTTGTCAAAATATCACAAAGTAATAAAAAAAAAAAAATTTCTACTTCATGACAAGACCAAGATGGATTGAAAATAATTTCTCTATTCATTTTGTTTAACAATCCAATTTCTGAAAGACTGCTTTAAAGAAATGGCTTTCTTTTTTAATAGGAAAAATATTTATGAATGCTATTGTATTACAAATACCGAAAGATGTTTTTTTTTATTTGTTTTCCAGACACTCTTTATAGTTAGCATGTTTAATTAGTTTTTGAAAATATT